GAGCTTAAAGCAGCAGCAGCTCTGAAGCTTTTTGCAGTAAGTTTAGCTTAAATTACTTCCTAAAATCTACTATCAGGATAGGTCCCCCAAAAAAATTCTTGAAATCTAGTCCCTTTTCCCCATACGAAATGCCACCTATTCTAAATTAGTCTTTGACCCCTAATTTTCCCAATTTTTTTCTTTAAATATGGTCCCTTTTATTAATCTAGTGCTTGGATCAGTGGAAACCCCTCCAGTTTTGACCAGCTGCGCAGAGGTGGGACTCGACCAGACAGATGCGGAGGAGCTGCACAACTTTGTCTGTGGCTGGGCAGCTGCTGGCAGCTTTCGCGGTTTTTTTGTGCAGCTTAAGAGCGGATGACACAACATGCCAATCTCTTTCAACGCGCCTGGACGTGACAAACCATCGACAGTGGGGGATGGGAAGAGAGCTTATGAGCGGTAAGCGAGTGAGACGAAGTGAGTGAGCGGTGCACACTCGCTCATTTGTGCGCTTGCGAATTCGCAGGATTTCTTGTTGCCGATTGTTGCCAGAATGCAAAAATTCAGGTCCACGTGCTTGCCTCCGATTTTGCAAGGTTTGAACAGGATGGCGTGTCAACGGCATGCCCTCTCGCCCTCACCTGGCCTCGAAGCGATACTCCACGCAGGGGCGCGATTTCCAGCTGAATTCCAAGATGCTCCGTGCCAGAGCAGTGGGAACCAGCCTAGCCTGGAACTGCGCTGAACGACCTTCCCGCCACCCCGCCCGGCAGAGACCAACTAATCCCTCCAGTCCTTCTAATCTAGAGGATGCTCCGCGCGAGAGCGCCATTGCAACCTGCAGACAATGCTCCTGGAGTGAGCTTCAATGCATGAGAGAGTGCGCGTGTCGAGTTGACTGTGAGTCGGTGTGGAATGCGGTCTGTGAGTGTTTGTCGGGGTCATTGCAAGTAGGTGTGGGCGTATCAAGGAGTGATGAATGATTTCAGACTGCGAGCGGTGGGGCGGGGGGAAGAGGGACCAGGACGGCCTAACAATTAGAACCAAACAAGGGCGGGAAAAAGATATTTGGCAACAGCAGATGAGGTACTTTACGGGCTGAGCAGCTGGAGATGCTGAAGGCCCATCTGGAGACACCCCGAAAGAATTGAATGGACCCCAAAGCTGATGCTGGGTTTTGCGTTGCTTGGGATTTTTATCAAACACTTACCTCCCAACTACATGAACGACCGAGGTTGGGATGGGCAGATTTTGTTTTGCAGGGGCTCAGTTCTTGGGACAGCAGAAATGTACTGCAGCACGTCTCAGGAGGTTTAGCAGCGAGAGTTGTTCACCACTGACTTCTGATGTCAGGGCGAGCTAGGAGAGGAGTACACCAATTTCTTGCGCCGTGGCGCAGCAAAGTTGATGCAGTCGCTGCCGACGCAGGACATAATACAAAATGGTGCATCAACTGATTCCATGAGAACGGTACCAGTCAGGAGCAGCACTTCTTGCTAGATGCCTTGCAGAAGGCACGGAGGGGTATGGCCGGAAATGTTCTGTAACCTGGGCCCTAGTCTCTAGTCGCTGCGAAACTTGATAGGGAACGCAAATCTTGTGAGACTGCCAAATGTCAGGTCACCGGGTAGCCAGCCATCCCTGCTTCGGACGACGCGCTGCGTCGATCGGCCACGCTGCCATAACCCTCCAGACTGACGTCAGAACGGAAGTGCCAAACAGACGCAGCGACCGACAGGCTTGCTGGCTGTTCAGGCTTGCTCCAGAACACGCTGATGAAAGCGGGTCGCTTCGGATGCTGCGCTGGAATAATTCTTAGTTTGAGCCTTCCATGTCCATGGTCCAGAGCCGGAGATCGTGTGTACCTGCTTCGTCTACGACATTCTCGTCATGTCGGAGCAGGGCAGAGCACGACAGGTCATCAAGCAAGTGCCTCCTGCTTTCAAGTGGTGCTAGCTTTGGGCTTTGAGCAAGCCATCTCGTTTGACTGGCAGCAAGCACCTGAGTGGCTGTGCCTCTCAGGATTGCAAAGCATGCGCCCAGTCTGGACCTGTGCAAGTCGTGCTAGAAAAAATGATTCCGGCGCGCGCGCGCGCCATGAATTCACAAAGCCATGGGCTGGATGCTCCCGTGCCCCTCTGAATAGCGCGTCTGGTAAAGATTCATGAGAAGCACTGCTTAGTCAAGAGTTTGAAGCATCTAGGAGCATTTCAAGAGTGTTTGCCAGTTAAGAACATTTTTGGAATGTCGTAAAAGTCGTAAAAGGTGTCTGAATGTAGTTGGAGGTGTCTTGAAGAAGTAGAGATTGTATTGGGAAGTGTTCTGAAAGCAGCCCAAGAGTATTAAAAGGTGTGTTCAAGGCATCTAAGAGCGTCTTCAGAGGCAAGAGCTGAGCGAGGCTTCTGCACCATGACGTGGTGGTCTTTGTGTTGCCGCAATCCCGAAAAATAGCAAACATTTGTTGAGCGCGTCCTTTTCCCTCTCCGTCCTCTCGTCGGACTGTTTTATCCTTCTTGCTGCCAGTGCCCGCCCAGTTTCAGCAGCAGCCAAGGCTCCAAACTCAGCAGCAGCTGATGGCAGCGCTTGCTGGGCGAACAGGCTGTTTTGCACTTGCATGTGCAATGGAGGAGAATCGACATGTGTCAGGCCTGCCAAGGGTTCATGCATCTTTCCTTTGAGCATTCCTCAGGTCCTGAGATTGGCAACGTGCAGTTTGGTGAGTTTCCCTCTCCGTTTCGGGACTGCAAAAGCTGCAAGAGACGTCCGAGCATTGGTCTTGATCTGGAAATCTGAGGCCTCCAAATCCTCACTGCGATCCACCCCAGCTCATCCAGCAAAGGCTCCGCTCCGCCGTTTCCAGCGAGAGAGTTGCATGGCTTGGCTGCGTTGTGTCAGTGTGTCAGTGTCAACCCGAGAGACCCCAACGACCCGAAGCTGAGCCTTGCAAGAGAGGCAGCTCCTCACAGCAGCTCTTGAAGTGTTGGCTGCAAGGAGTTCAGGCGCCAGAGCTGGTCAATCTTTCTGCTAGCCGCTAGTGTGTCATTGTATTGCATCTGGTGCTGCATGGCAGCGTCCTATCGCAAGGCCCTGCATCTTCTGCAGCAACGCCGCGCACGTGGCGAAGCTGCATTTTACTAGATTGACTAGATTGGCAGGCCCCAGCCAGATATTTCAAACTCAAGGAGCTAGTTGAGGCTGCTGCGCTGTATAGCAGAAGCCCTTGCCAAGGTTTAAGGTGAGTTGCGCGATCTGGATTAAATATGGTCACCGCACACAAAACCCTCAGAGGCTAGATGATATGATCAGCCGTGGCCCGAGCAGCCTTAGCGACTTAGCTGCATTTGAACTCCTGCACCCAAAGCAAAGGCGTGCTGCCCCTAGATCATTGTTGTAGTGCGTGGCATGACGACCCCGATTTGTAGTAGCAGGAGGAGAATGAGTTAGAGTGGTGCTGCTGCCCGCATTAGCTGCATCATACTTGACACCAGAAGAAGCAGTCATTTCAAACATAGCAGTGGCGGCAGCAGCATAAACCACATTGTACGGCTTTTGTTGTCGCTGCTGCGCCCTTGAAGGCCTGGGCTCGGATTTGACAGCCTCCCCGGCTGGCAGGCAGGAAGGGATGGTTGTCCATATCAGAAATGCCGTCCAGCATTTCACGTTCCGCCAGGTGAGCTGGCATGACGATAAGCGGCTCGTTTATATGCCTCTTGTTTCGTAACAGAGTTTTCAGAACATTGCGAGCGAATCGTCGCAAGTGATATTTCTCCAGACCCTTGCTGGGCATTGAGCTTTTCTCCGTGATGCTCAATGCCCTTGAGGGGCGATCCTTAAAGTGAACCTTGTTCATGCTGTCAACAGAACTAAACATATCAAATACGCCCACCCGTTCTTGGACATGGCGGCCCTGGACAGAGCCCGGGTCGATGCCTCCCATACCTTGTAGCAATTGCTGCGATGCGAGTTGAGAGCGACGCAAGCCATGCAAGCACAATGCAAGCACATGATAGTGACGACCAACATCAGCACATATCAGCATGAATGCTATGGCCCCAGCTTGTGTGCGTCGCAGTTGTCGCAGTGTTCTCCGAGTAGCTCGGAATTTCTCTGGCCTCATCGAAGGCAGCATGCCGTGTGATGTTCTGGACAGCCAGAGGCGGTTCAGGCCGCGTAGCGGCCGAATCGATTGCAAGGCGTGCACCGTTTGAAGCCAAGGATGAAACATTTGCTCCTGTGCCCGTGCCGCTTACCTGTGATATACAGTTTGGCAAGAGAGGGATGGCCTTATCGCCGAGAACAGCAGGTAAACAGCAACAGCAACTGTATCTGCTTAACTCGCGCCGGGGCGGCTCAGCTCGATGCAAGCATGCATTACGTTCCATTTCTTTCCTGCCCGCTACATTCGTGCTGTGTCGTGACAGGCGTCGGGAAATCACAGGCAAAAAAAGCATTCACTTTGCTTGGATTAGCCTGGCACCAACCCGCGCTTGTCACCGAAGCAGTGGGCCACCTGTAAAGAGCTAGTACGCGGAAGCTCACTCATGACCCCGGGGTGTGCGCACAGACATCTTTGGGATGTCGCGGAGAGCTTGCAACGCACCGCGAGAAGTTTGCATTGCGTGGGCGAGGCTAAAGACTTCCCTTGACCTCAGCGCCACTGACGGTCGCACGAAAGCTGCGGCTTCTTTTGGCATTGTGAGATTTTTAGTTTCGAACAGGCCGCCGCTGGAGCTGAGCCATACTCGGCTCCGGCCGCGGCTGATACGGCTCCTTTCTGATCAGAGTTCCTTCTGCATTAACAAGTCGGCACCAGAATGTTCATAGTGACGGCTTGATTTAAAGGAGGCCAAGAATACCACAAGCCAAGCTTCTGGAGCCATTGCATTCGCATGGACTCAGGAAAGAAGTGGACGGCGCCAGCTTGTTGGCTTCAAATGTGTGGTGCAGGGGTCAAGCTCGGAGCTCCTTCCCACGCCTGGCAATCAGTCAAGCTCCTCAAGTGTTTGATGGGTTTGGTCCCCGCGCAGGTGTCGACGCTCAGTGCTTCGGACCTACCAGGTGGCTGCAAGATCGGAGTGGTCAAGGACGCGACGGCTAGTGACTGCACGAGATTGCAACTTACAGTGGCAGTTTGCAGCAGGAGGAATAAGGAAGCGCCGACAAGGTCCAATCGAGTATAATTTTGGGTCATGTCGATTTGCCTCATGACTCATGTTGTCCGGGTTGAGAACTGGAGGTGCTGCTGTCTTCGCTGGACGCGCTGAGTGCTGCCTTGCTTGTTCTTCAGAGCTCAGGATGCTCAGGAAATATCAGGAAGATTTGAGAGATGTTTTTGGACTAACCTCCATAGTTGTGGGAACAACACACGCAGCGCATTAGCCACCTCATCACTTTGGATCACCTACCAGGACCTAGCATGCAGGAGGTTGGACGCGCCGCATTTTCCAAAGACTCAGTGTCTGCAATTCGATCCCGACTCGGTGCTCAGCCGCAGCTTGCTTTGTGCGAGTGGACCTGATCCTTCAAGCGCATTTAAAGGGCTTCCAGCCCAGCTTACTTGCGCAGTATGTTTGTGCCTGAAAGAAGATGTGCCTCTACTTCCGAGGGGGTCTCAGGCCTGCCGCAGTCTCCAGCAAATCATGCACGACTTCAATGACATGTTTGCTGAAGCAGCTCCAAGCTGGCTCAGAGGCACGAACATGCAGCCTAATCACGCCATGGACTGGATGAGTTGGTGCGGAATGCGGAGCGATCTATGCATGTCAATCTGAAGAGCTCACGCTTTGACTTCTTGATTTTTGGGGTGGAAGCGAACAGGAGTACATCCCATCATCCATCATCCGTCTAGCTAGCCATCCATCCATCCATCCATCCATACGTCTCTACACCCATACATCTATATGCCCATACCCAGTGCATACGTTCGAATTTGCGCGCATACAGACACATTTACATACATACAGACCTAGAAGTGTACATACATACCACATACATACGCGCAACTTAACTGCATGCGTACATGCACTCGCATTATGACGAGGGCTTGCCGTGAACCCGCTTAGTACTCCAAGGGACACCCATGGGATAAAACACAGACGCATCACAACAGCAATGGACCCGGAATGCTGGACGAGACAGGAGGTGCCTTTACTATTTACAGGACAGTTCGAGCATCGGACCGGCCAGAATCGGTACCCTGAAAATGGCCCCATCGCGTGCCATGGTACCAGTAGCGCACGCAGTCAGAAGTTTCAGTCTGGTTGCCTTTAGGTGCGCTGCCCCTGCGTTTTGCCTTGGTACAGCGCGGAGGAGCAGCGCACGAGGTCGGGCTTTCAATCAGCACCGGGAGTTTGACTTCCGGGTTATTGCCGAGAAGCGTTTTACACCTGAGCTACTATCGATGTTAGCCTCAATAAGGGCCCTTAACAGTGGACATAGAGACCCCTCTTGTAGTTTAGTATAGTCTTACATGGTCCCCAGTAACGAGCCCATGTCCATGAACTATGCGGGAAATACTGGCCGCAGCTCACATCACAAAATGCCAGAAGTCAGTGTGGGCCAGTTTGCCCAGCCAGGTGACGCTTCACGTGGCCGAGGCAGATCCCGTGACGTGCGTTGCTTCACCAAGGATCTTTTTGCCGTGTCACCCAAAATCCTGGCAGGTGGCTTTCTTGGGTCGAGCCCCGAAAAGTGCCATAGTGGTCAATGAGTCAAGCCCGGAGCCAACTGCCACGTGTTTGATTTGTGATTGCGCATAGGAGCACAAGTCTGCTGCTTGCCGCTGGTAGGCTCAAGCTGATTTGTCTTTCAGGGCAGGTGGGCGTTCCACATGTCGGCATCAGAGCGGTTGGCCCAGAAGAGGAAATTGAAGATGCTTCAGCTAGGCATAGCATAGATGGCATAGCACTTGGTTTGGGAGCGCCGTGGGGTTTTCGCGAGGTCAACCAGCTCAAGGCAGCCGGTGCAGCCTCCGCCTTTGGAGGCAAGAATGCGCCGGCTTTGGGACTTACAAGCTAGCAGGTTCCTATGCCCAGGTCGCAGCAAGCGAGTCTGAACCGCAGGGCAAGGAGGTTGGAGAAGCCGCTGTCATCTGTCATCTGTCAAAGCATATCTTGAGCCTCAAGAGCAGTGAGTTGTCGAGGAGCCAGCTGGCCTGGGCGGTAAAGTCGCAAGATTCTTTGGCAACGTCGGCTACCGCTTCTGAGCTGCCTTTTTGTTTTGATAGCCAACAGACTAGTGACTAGTCGCGTGAAGTGAAGATTGTGAGTTTCTGAGCCTTTCGATCTTGCAGTGACCATGCTGTCGTAGCGTCGTAGAGCCAGATGGACAGTTCATCAGGAAACTTGAGCTATCTGAGGTGTTTTTGACAACATGAGCTTTGTTGGAGAGGCGCAACTGCCATGGGCAACAGGACGCATCGCATCTTTCTGGACAGCACTTAGTTTTTCTCTGATGTAGGTTCTGGTGGAATTCCTTGAGTTGGACAAGCACCCGCAGCATGGCAGCAGATGACGGGTGCTGCCCGAAATCATGCGAACTGTAGTCTCGGGTGGGCAGAACATCGCAGAACCACCTCAACAGTTATGGCCCTGCAAAGAGGTATCAGCGCGAGATGGACGAGATGCGAAGGCAGCAGCGGCGCCGAAAACAAGCGCAGCAGCAGCGCGAGGCTGCCGAAGCCAGTGCAGCTGCACTTGTATTTAGCTGCTATGCCGCCTACGTTTTTATCCAGGCCGATGCCATTGCGTCCCTGGAGGAGGCAACGGAAACTGAGGCAACAGGAGCTGAATCCAAACAGGCCCTGGAGACCCCGGCCGCTTTATAGAGGAAGTGCATCGTGTCACGTTCCGAGTGGTTTTGGGAAAGCGTTCTCAAGAAAAGCTATTGACCAGGCCGGGGTTTGATGTTCGTTCCGTGGACCAGCCAACCCCTTCGAGAGAGAAGGCCTTCCTGTGCAGGGCAACAAAGTACAAACGAATTCGCATGATCAAAATGATCAAGGCGCCCGTCCCCCTAGCGTCAGGGTTGAAAAGCCTGCTAAGCAGCTTCGCATTGAGCGCCTTTGGTGAAGCTGTTGGTTTGGGCGCAAAGAGATGCATCACTGCCGCGTTGAGGTGTTTCCTCCATGCATGTGGAATTCTCCGTCGGGCGCATCCCGGTCAACGGAAAGCCCTGAGCTTAAGCATCGAAGCTAACTTCCTGTTTATTTCAGGGTGCCTGTGCGATGATTTGGAGATGGACATGCAACAAGGTCTCAGGGAAAAGCCGGGCAACTTTGCATCCTTGCACGGGACAGGCCCTGCACGTTTTTGGGCAGCCTTGTTTGACCACTCAAGTCATGGTTCAACATGGACTTTGCAAAAAGACAGGGGGGGGGGCAGGGCGGCCAAAAAAGGGGTAGTGCAACAGGTCTCAAAATGGCACTGGTTTATGCCGGCCATGCCCTCAATGGCAAGAATGAGGGTCCACTGGCCTCTTCAGTTGGCATCGGCTCAAGGTTGGGTCCAGACGGTTTCCCTGATTTGGCCAACATCCTGCGATTGGGCACGGGCCTTGCGTGTGCTCTTCGTTTGGTGAGGTGTGGCAAGCTGACACGTTGTGGCATTTGTTTGAAAGAAGTCAGGAGGCCCCCCCGAAGTGCTGGAAGATGGCCATGTTCTCGTTTGACACCGAGCACAGCAAATGAGATGAAACGTCATGCTTTAATGTTTGCTGCAGCCTGATGCCTAGGTTGTGCCCCTCCGGAGCAAATGCCGCTACGTTCGCCAAAATGAGGTTCCCCAATACATGTGGCAACTAGCTGATGTTTGTGAGCATTTTTATTCGCACAGGTTCTTGAGACGAGTCTTTTCCATTTTTATCTCTACCAACCTGGTCGGATGCTTAGGTTGTGAATACGTTCACGTGCCGTGAAATATCGTGAAAAAACGTGAGACAGGTTAGCTATCTACTCACGCCCATAGATTGTCTTGGCCACTCTGGTAATCAGCAGCTCTGAGGCATCGCATGGCCTCCGGCATCGATCCGCTTACGGGGTCAAGGCCAGCATGTTCGAGCATGTAGCGACAGAGTCACATTTATTGGAGATGTTGTGCAGGCAAGCTTGCAGAATTGTGTTGCAGATTCAGCCAGAGACCAGTTAATTGCAGGCAGTGGAGCCGGAGGGGTTCGGGCCTTGTTCATTCATGACATGAGTGTTTCTTTCGTTGTAGGCAATTTATGATTGCGATTTGGTTCTGAGGTTGTTTTGCCAGCGCGTGTTCCCGACAAGCTGTGCTCCTGGCAATCTTGGCGGGTTGTCATGCGACCAATTCGCGCCTTTTTGCCAGGGGGGAAGATGACATCTTGCCAGACTGCTATGCCGATGGCTCAATATTGGGTGCAGCCTCGCTACTATGTGAATGGAAGATGTTGGTGTGGTCAGGATTCAGCCACGGGGTCAGGGAGATGGAATTACCAGGCTCGTGGTCAAGCATTGGGTCGTGCGAGATTCTCAAAATTCCAAAGAGCCGCACTTATTTAGCTACCATAGCAATGCACTTCAGAGCATGTCGAAGCAGCGCGCAAAACTGTAGAGTTGGTAGACCAACCAGCCGGCTTGAAAGGCACGACTTGGAGAAGGCGGCTTAGGCACGAGACTCCGTTGGCTAGCTTTCCTGTGCCGTTAGAATCTACGAGGGATGGCAAGCCAGCATCAAGAGTTTTCGGCATAGAGACGAGACCGAAAGGAAACGAGGTAAAGTTTGAAGCCCTTAGGAGTCGTCTACCGTGCCTATGATTGCCGCGGATCGCTCGGTCACGTTGCCGTCAAGGTGCTGCGCTCCGTGATGTAGCACATATGCCAGTAGAAGTGACTTCTTGAGTGTGACACATGGCTCTTCGCATCCTAGCAGTTCGGGGAGTTTTGCACAAGTGGACTCAACGGCGCAGATGGCTCAATCAGTTGGGCTTAAGTTTAAGCATCAACTGGATCACTCGGCCTTCGAATGTCAGATTAGAAAACTTTCTGCAGCCACGACATGCGAACAAAGTTTTCTACGATGCTTCCTTTCAGGTATTGAAACATCCTCAACGTGCCGGAAGCTTAGATACATGGCAGGGACCACAAGAGAAGTTTCAAACAAGCGAGATGTGACAGCCATCCGGAAGGCTACGGGTGGATTTGTGCCTTGCATGTTTATCAAGGCGTACTGGGGCAAACAGCATTGTTTCTCCATGCATCGCGAGAGCCAATGGATGATTCCTCAGACTTGTGCTGCTTGCATGATAACCGGTGTGTGTTGCTGACCTTGGACTCATGTTACGTGGCTTTGGCCAAGTTTGAACTTTTGAGCTGCAGAGGTCCTTACAGAAGTTGCACAACACCAGTGATGGCAGATATTGCTTAACTCTGAGTTGTGTTCGTTGGCGCTGTGCATTGAAGCGTTTGGTGCAGTTTTTATCTTTCGTGATTGATAAAGGTGAGTCTGCCGCGAAACTGTTTGCACGTTACTTGGAGGCCGTGGGTGCAAGGATCTTTTTGACAGTTGAGACGAGTGGAATACTATTGGACCGGCCAGGACTACACTGGCCTCCTGCAAGTGTTCCCAGGTGCCCCTACTTTGGTTTTGCCTGGGAGCCAGCTTTTTCGTGCAGTTTTATGTGGCTTATGAGGCTCTTGAGGCTCATGAACTGCAGAATCGCCTGCTCTTCACCAGGAGACTTTGACGCTCGCCGGAAGAAGTTCGAGACTCCAGGCCAGCTTTCGCGATGAGACTTGAATTACAGCTCAAACCGGCCCAATAATTTCCGTCACTGTAGCAGTTACCAGCAGTGCTGCCAGACCTCGTGTCAACAGCAGAAGCAGTGGAGCAACAGAACCACCAAGAGCGCAAACCGTAGCGGAGCCAATGGAAGCTACACAACTGTTAGCTGATGTGAGTAGGCGCTGTTGCCTGGAACCACCATGCCTGCCTGCATCCTGCCAGGAATGGATTGGGAAAAGGAAGGGCCGCGACCTTTGGATCTCGGTTGTGGAAAGCAAAAAGATTTAATGTGTTTGTGCAGCCTCCATGATGCCCCAGTTGAAAATGTCGGAGTCAGACTACATCGTGCTTGCGTTTTGGATCGGTGAGACCTCCTTGACTCTTTGCGTGTCAGCTTTAGCAGAGTTGTCAAGCAGGCAATGCAGGGCCCCTTCAAAAATAGCATCTCAATGTCAACATATTAAGGCCAACGGTGTCGGTGGCTTCGCCATACGTCGTCATGGAGCTGGTCAGCATGCCACGCTTTGGATGATGTGAGTCAACTGGCCGGGCTGCAAAATTCAGCTGCTTGAATGTAGATGGTGATCTGGGCGGCGTGTCTAGGCGTTTGGTAGTTGCGCTTGGGCACGCAGGAGTAGTTGCGACAACCTAAACCCAGGCCTGCTCTCCAGGGACACAGGATTTGAAAACGCCAGCCAGTTGAATTGAAATCCAAGGACCCCTGCCCCTCCAGCCAAAGGCCAACAGGCACACCAAGTTTCGAGCCATCCAGCCGCTCTAAATAGAGGGCAGTTGCCCCTCCAGGCAAGGGCCCAAGGCCTCAAAGCCTCCTCAAAGGAGACCAGTGGGTTGGCTGATATGCGTCGGTAAGCATGGCAGATTGTCCCGTTGGTGTTTGAGGGCTCTCTCCATTCGGCAGTGGGTTTGGAATTCAAGATTGGTTTGTGATACTTGAAGAGTTTTGAGTGAGGGTCGGGTCCAGTGGATTGTTTTGCATGTTCTTGTCCATGTACCAGATTGATTTACGTGCTGGCAGACATGCATGCGCTGAGTTAGCACTCAGGGCACACCCAATGGTGTTCGGCCCAAGATTGGTTTGGTTTTGTGTGGTTGTCAACCTACAGTTGTTATTCGATGGCGGGAATTGTGGATAATTAGGCAGGTGTGCAAATTCTTGCTGAAGAGTTTTTATGTTTGCTAGCGTTGGGCAGGTTGAAGGCGAGCCGCTGCACGTGGCCATGGACCGGGAGTGGTTTGGGCCTCACAGGAAACATGTGTATTTGTTAGGGCTCGTTAGTGTGGCTATGGCATGAGACGAGTCGCATGACACACACGGATAAAGGTTGTATCGATTGGCTTCCCGTGTCAAGGATCTCAATGGAGGGGCCAGCTGGTACACTGGGAACACTGTCCTACATACATGAGCCTGGCATAATGTGACCTCACGTGGCATCCCATGCAAATTACAATCATCGACAAGTCAGCAAATCACATGTGGTACATGACTGTATGCCAAACCTGTCGTGGCACTCATCGATGGTCCTCCTCCACCACTTCAAGTCAAAGTCACGCAACTCCGGAGAACTGTTCGAAAAATGCGTATCACTCTGTACAAGCAAGTGCGTCATGGGGATGTGTCCCCGTGATATCACAAGCAGACTGGAGCGTCCTTGTTGGTGCAAGATTCCCGAGTGCTCCTTGCACCCCTTGCGCTGTCAAAAGAAAAGAAATAGTGAGTCCTCAGTGCCTCCGTCAGGTCGGCTCTCAGTATGTGACATGCAACAAGTCGTCCATTCAAATGCATGTTGTCCAAAAACCCTTAGCTTAGAATCAAGGTGCACGCGCACACGCACACACACCCCTGCGAAGAGGGCAGCGACCTGACAGCAGACAATCAAATCAATCGAGTTCACATGCACTCAGGAATCACGATCTTCTCGTGCTACGGGATCTTCGGTGCGAACGCGGGGGCATAGCCTTTGCTGGGATACTACCTGACACTGAGCTAGAACGGCCACCACGCGCACATGGACTCGAGGGTCGTCTGCTCTAATGACAAAGTGTTCATCCCGACGAGGAGTGCCTTGGTAGAGGTGCTGAAGAATGTTTTCGAGCCTCCCTGAGGAAACGGTCAGTGTCATCTCTTACTGCGCGACGCAACAAAGTCTGAAAGGAATCCCAAACTGCATGAAAAACTCCACATAGTCCCAACATGGTCTTACGGTGCGCTGGGCTGAGACGACTAATCAGAGCACAAAGTACGTCATCGTTGAATGGATCAGGTCTGCCGTTCATGTCCAGGAACTATCGAGCGGACACTACAGTGACGCGCAAAGTTTTGTGAACCTATTAGCGCAAATTTCTTTGTTCCTAGGTTACTGCAGTTATATAGGCACTTCCATGTCCTGGCGTGCAATCATTTTCCATGTTCCGAGAGTTATAGGTCCTGGCAAAATCAAGTGACAAGCTAGGAAATAATATGCGCAATGGGGTAATCATTCGACCTACGCGCATTGAATTGTACACTTCCATACAGAAATGGCCGGTCAGCTGGTCCTCGTCATCCCTGGTTATGACACAGATCAAACGGTGATCATTAAGTTGGCGAACAAGATGATATGCCCGCAACGTGCCGCAACGTGCGTTGTTCGACCACCAATGAAAGGAAGGCTCTCAACCAAAGATGATTCACCGCTGAAAGACGGGCCAGGCACTCAAGAGAATGTGTCCGACAAACCAAGATCACTCGATGTCTTTCACGGACAAACTGCGACAACAGCGAGGGAACATAACCACCGAGTCGGTCGCGAAAAGCATCCTCTGCATAACGAAAGTGCCGCTCCATGTCCTTGTCCAAGGGCTCTGAGGATGAGATCTTGTCCTGCTTATCAATAGGTTTTCCTGGGAAGGGCAATACCGAAGGAACTTCTGATATCCAAAAGGAAAGTTCTACCAGCCCCTCGCACAAAATACTCGACAGGCGCACCAAGGGAGCACATACATCAAAATCTTGGGCAAGCAGGGTTCAAAAGTCATCTTGAAGAGTAAGGTTCAAACACACACAGGCATATCTCTGACTTACTTGCCTCACCATCCACCACTGTCAACAGCAGTAAAAACCCCATGATGAGTATTCCTGGCACCCACAGTAAGTGACATGATCCACAAAACCCGTTCTTAATCACAGGTAAGGTCCTGACAGGAGGTCGTAAAAACTGAAAGCAAAATTTAAACATATTACACAAATTTGTACGCAATCGGGTGAATCATTCTCGATGTATCTGAATGGAGAAATGACCAGTCACTTGATCTGCGTCATCCTCGTCCGTTTGAAAACGCAGTCTTCATGTGACAAGATCCGCGTCTTTTTGGCCCCGCCCAGAACAAGCTGGGGGCGATCACGGTTTCTGCAAGTAGGGCGCAGAAAACACCCTTGGCAGTTCCCTCGTGGGAAAAGTGCCCTAGGCAACAAGGCCACACACGGATAAAGGTTGTATCGATTGGCTTCCCGTTTCGAGGATTACTGTACACTTGGAACAACGTCCTACATACATGAGCTTGGCATAATATGACATGACATGAAGCTGCCATCCTACGCAAATTACAATTATCGACAGGTCAGCAAATCGCACGTGGTACATGATCGTATGTCAAACCTGTCGTGGCACTCATCCATGGTCCTCTTCTTCCACTTCAAACGAAAGCGATCCGGAGAATTGTTCGGAAAATGCGTATCACTCCGTACGAGCAGGCACGTTATGGGGACGTCTCCCCATGATGTCACACGCGAACCGGAGCGTCTTCGTTGGTGCAAGATTCCCGAGTGCTCTTTGCACCCCTGCGCGGCCAAAATACATGGAAATGAAGTGAAGTGAATCCTCGGTGCCTCCATCAGGTCAGCTCTCAGTATGTGACATGCAAACAAATCTTCCATTCACATGCATGTTATCCAACAACTTGTAAAAGCTTAGAGTCAGGGTGTGTGCGCACACATGTACACGCAGTTTTTTCGTACGGCGTCCATGAAATCCTTGAGGCGAACTCCATCCAACCATGCGCTGAAGGACGCAGCGGCCACAACCTTGATTGTCAGTTGTAGCTACATTTTTATTGGTTCTGCCGAGCAATCTCAATGATTACTTTCGTGAAGAAAGCTGGGCAGGCTTGGACAACGAAGTTACCCTAAGCCCTAAGCGGATGGACCCGAACAGCAAAGCAGAGGGATGTCCGGTCTTCAGATCATCAGGACCCGCCGCCAATGTCTGTCTATGAGAAGCGCCAGGCATGGCTGGCGTGGCACGCTGCAGGGTTCACGACATCAGTATCGGTTTGTAGTTGATGTAAGAGTGTAGCGACAGCTGGGAAGGTTCCCCGAAGGGTTGGCGTGGCAACTAATATTAAAGGGAGGGATGTCAGAACCTTGGTATTTCATGGCTTCAAAGGAGTTCTGATGAATTCCAACACGCAGGTCCTGCTGCAGGCTGCAAAAGCCCTCGAGTGCCCTCAAAGAAATAGCTCCGTGGCACAAGGAACAGTTTGAACATGCGGACGCGGCACTTGCCAGCACCCTCTCAGCAATGTTCCAGGTACCTGGCAACGTTCGGCTTGATACACCGCGACTTTCGGGGTTGTCAATCGCTAAGATGCAGCTCTGCATGTGCTTCTTCGAGATGCCATGATGAAACACATAACAGTTGCAATCGTGCACGAAGAGCATAATTGCCAGTTGTTTTTTGCTGGAAGTGGCAAAACCCAAATGAGATGGGGCGCAGCAAGGCAACATGCATTTGGCGGAGCGTGCCACCGAGAATAGCCCCTGCAAGCTCAAGGCCCTTGGCGACCTACAGGATGATGCGTTGTTTGTTGTGTTAGATTTTTTTGAGCATGTTCAGCACAGGTGACGAGCCAAAGGATTTGGGCTCGGGGAAGGTCTGTATCCAGCCTTTAGTCGCAATCATGGCTCCGAGCACCTGGGCATCTGCGGCAGCCTTGGCTGCCTGCGCAGCCCCGGCCGTGGCTTTTGTGCCGGCTGGCCAGGGCCTGAGGGGTATCCAGGCACAGACCTCCGCAGCCCCATCCTCGACTGCGGCAACCTCGGCCACATCCAGCACCTCCTTGGCCACTGCCGGGTTGGCTACGGCAGCTGTCGTAGCTGGTGCCACTGCCTTCCGTGCTCGCCCAGCACCTCGCCGAGTCGAGCGCAACGTGGTCGGAGTGTGCCTGCCGCTCACAGACAAGTTTGATCCGCTGAACTTGGGCAACACCGATGCCAAGATGGAGCGGTACACTGCGGTGGAGATTAAGCACGGGCGGGTCTCAATGATCGCAGTTGTTGGCTATATCATGCCAGAGATTTTCCGCTTCCCAGGTTGCGAGGACTTCAAGCATGGCCTTGCTGCATTTGAAAGCATTCCCCTAGAAGGCTGGATCCAGTTGCTCGCCTTGGTTGGTGCCCACGAAGTCCTGGTCAAGCCCCGTGAGGGCGGACTGGGTAGCTACGACTTCGGCCTTGGCACCGAGCTCCTCGATGGCATCGACGAAGAGGAACTCGAGCGCAAGCAGACCTCCGAGCGCAACAATGGTCGATTGGCCATGATTGCCATCCTCGGGCTCATGTGGCAAGACGGGACGTTTGGCGAGGCCCCACTGAGCTACATGAACAAATATGGCTTCTGGGGTGAGCCTGTGCAGTTCATTGTTTCGCACATTGCTAACTGCCAGTCCTTTAGCGGAAGCTATGTCAACAACGGGGGTCTCTGTGCGCTTCCTTCCCGTGGGGGTCGCACCACCATGCATGCCACGCAGAAGCTGGCTGAGGGCGAGTTCGTAGAGTTGGAGACCTACCCCAAAGAGATGGAAATGTCTCCTTCCGTTCCGTTCCTGCGGTATCCCCAGGTCCTGAAGGGTTGGGTCGGTGGGGAGAAGGGTTTCGACCCTCTCGGTGTCACTGATGCCCTGCCTGTGTACTGGGTCCGTGAAGCTGAGCTGAAGCATGGGAGGCTTGCTATGCTTGCCACAGTTGGATGGATTGCAACAGATTTGGGTTTCCGCTTCCCTGGCGAGAAGTTCCAGAGTGTGGCCAACCCCATTGAAGCGCATGACAAGATGGTCGAAGCCGGCTACATGCTGCCGTTCTTTGGTGCCATTGGCGTCTTCGAGTTGTTCGCCTTGTGGCTTTTCTTCCAGTCTTGGCCCATTGGCGAGGGCATCAACCGCGAGGCAGGTGACTACTGGCTCGGCAAGCAGTTCCTGCCCAAGGATCCTGAGAAGGAGAAGGACATGCGCCTCAAGGAGCTTGAGAACGGTCGCCTCGCCATGTTTGCCTTCAGCGGCATTGTTACCCAGGCCGTCATCACCGGCAAGTCCTGGCCCTTCCTTTGAGGCTGCGCCTCCGTCTTTTTTTAAAACATGGAATTAGCACCTGCAGCACTTGTCCAGAGAAGGCAGCTGTTACACACAGTGATGGTTCTTGTCGCGGATGCTTGACGTGTGTATCGTGCATGGCGGCAGGAAAAATGGCAGTGCCACTAAATTGCAACGTGCAGCACGCATGGACAGATTAGCTCAGAGGTGCATCTACGCTTCCTGCATGAATAATGAAGGTTCTTGATCTTGGCGTCATGATAACAGACGAGGATTGGCAGCAGTGTCATCCTGAGTCAAAGTGCTCGTGCTAGTCGGTTTATTTGCATGCGTCAGCTTGCAGATCTTGGTAATTATTTCTGTGCTCACCGACCAACGATTCAATTGGGTACCCCAAGGTCAAACACCAACGATGCCGTCCAGGCAGACTTGCAGCGTTTTGCTTGGAACACAAGCTGCGCGCTTCAAGCCGAAAAGCCACCAGGTAACTTTTTGGGGTTGCATGCAACAACGGCTTCGACTGAGTGGTGAGTTCAACTTCCATGCTACCGATGCGAAAATCGGCAACAAGCTTGCTTGTGCAGGCGTTCCGAAAGCGCGGAGAAACAGAAGAAAAGCGACGCCGCTATGATTGGTGCTGGCCTCAAAGCACTCAAGTGTTTCACGATGGCCAGTACGCATTTGTTGGACCTTAATTTACCTGAGACTCTTCTTCCAACGGCGTTTTTTTCTCCAGGCTTCCATGGGAGGTCCGACGTGCAGCTGACGGTTGTGATCTCAATGGGAGATGGGAGCGCATGGATTGCTTCTCGATGAGATGCGTTGATCCGGAGATCGACAGTTAGATGCAAAGGACATGTCGGAGCTAAGTGCCCAGGTCTTGGTCCGCCGCTGAACTTCGAGAAGCCGGCTTGGGCCTTGATCATCGTTCAGTATTCTCCTGCTAACAAAGTTTCATCTATCATCAGCCACGATTCTGAAACTTGTTCGTATTACTTCAGAGGTTCACTCTTTTGACATGTTCTCCCTCGGGGTGCTTGCGCTGCACCTGACCATCGGACGCACCGAGGCATGTGCGAAAGCTTACCGTAGGTTGCTTGCCGCCTGTCTAACTTCTCCATCCTCCATGGGCCCTTCGGAGGCACGCATCCGCCTCAGTGAGATGGAACGCACTGGCGCGGGGAAGGACCTCAAAGCGGTGGAGGTTCGAGGGACTGGACCGGGTAGGCTGATGGGCATTTTCCTTAACATGCTGAAGCCCGCTTGAAATTAGCCACGCTTCGTCGTGCCGCAATTTTGCTTTGAGCAGTATACTTCAGACTGCAGGCGATGGTTGTCGACACCAACATGCTTGGTTGATACCTTGGCGCTTCCGTGACATATTGTGACATACGAGATGTTCGATGAACTGTTTCTTGTCGATTGAACTATTGTGACTGCTTGAGGACTGGATCCCCAGGTGCATTGCCGGATGTTGGGACCGGCTTGAAGCTCAGCTAAGCACAGCAGATTGCGTGGTGCCAAGATGACCTTCTTTCAAGGTGCACCGACTTGTGTTCCGTAGCTGACTGTCGTCCCAGGCAGCATCGCGACCAACGCCCAGCGATGTCGTGAAGTCAATTGAGGTTCCTGTTCTCAAACATAGATGCCTTGACATAGTCATCAATGGACATATACTGTACTCTGTTTTCAGGCCAAGCTGCTGCAGCCACAGAACTTGCCAAATGCAGTGCTCACTGCAGGCCTCCGTTTGCAGTGAATTATGCAGAAGGTCCAAGGTTTCTAGTCTAGTGGTGCTCGCAGAAGTCAAATCAAATCCAACGATTTGCAGAGACTAGTTCTGGCTGGTACCGCGGTTGCGAAGCCTACGCACCCAAGTGGGCAAGGCACTACGTCGGCCGCGCAAAGGTTCCCACTTCCGAGCCACACAGTTTTGACTTGGTTTGACTCGTCGGGTGTTTGGCCCAGGCTTTGGCAGGTAGGATTTAGGTCACCCCACTGCAGCTATTGCGTGAGTTGGCTGTGTGAAGTCATGGGGAATGGTCAATAGAAGTCACCTGCTTCGATCTATTGCATGCATGCTTCAACGCTTGCTGCGGCAACTCTGGTTCGACAGCGGGGGTGCTGAGGGGAAATCTCATCCCTCAGTGCCTGGGCTGCACACACACTGTTTCTTGTCTTGGGCTGCAGACGGATAGCATTGCCAGTTAGCTGTAAGTGCAATGGTATTGGGCATTGGCTTGACGCATGTGCCCAGGTCCACTTGCTGTTCCATGAAAATGCAAGGCCTGATGTAGCGGCAGCTTTGCAATGCCTCCAGGCGTCTGCTAAACCCGAATGTCAGTCTGTAAACATGTCCAGGCCGAATACACATGCAACTTCTTCTCCAACTTTTGATTGCCACGGGCTCGCGAAGAGATTGCTGGCGTGTCATGAAGCATGCAGGATCATGCATATTTGCTGCGCGACATGCAGCAGTTGGCGTCCTCAGAATGCAGTGCTACGCGTGCTAGCCTTCTTCTGGTGAGATTGTTGCAGCCTCGCATTGGATGGTTACCACTCGCGCAAAATCAGCACTGTTCTGGCTCTGATTATTGTTGCTACCAGTTCCTTTGGTGTTCTTCCTGGTGATGGCTTTCAGACCGAAATCGTTGTGGTCGAGTTTTATCCTGAAGCCGACTAATTATTCAATTTATCCCGGGTCGCTATGGTTTGCATGACTCTTGCAAAAATATGTTTTTCCTCAACATATGCATAAGGTCAGCGCGGCGAGTGCGGGCCTTGGTTTCTGACAAGGCCATGTTTTTTCGTAAAGTATGTAGGAGAAAGGAGATAGTGTGAGATAATGGACATTTCCCATCTTCACAAACCTTCGGCCTTGAAAGGCCACGCGGCTCTCTGCAAGTCTCATTGGTGTAGAAGGGGGAACTTGGCAAGGATCATTTTTTGCGTAGGTCTGTACCCAAAGACCTTGTGGCGTTTTTCTACTGCGCAGGTTCTTTCCATGGGCCTCCAGTGAGCACTCGGACTCCGTCACTTTTTCCCTGT